CCCCCCCCCCCCCCCCCTCTCTCCGCCCTCTCTCTGCCCTCTCTCTCTCTCCCATTCAGGTTGGCGGGTAACGATGGCTGGGTGTTTGATCGTCGCGGCCACACCCTGGTGTGCGAAGACGTGACCGTCAAGTCCAGGTACATAGCACATAGCACATAGCACATAGCACATAGCACATAGCGAAAGTGCTGCTATTCTAATACAAGTACGCAGCGGGTCTATCCTTTGCTTGTCGGTCTCTCGGCAACATAGCCGCAGGCCCGTCGACCAATCTCATAGCAGGACAAAACTCAACCCAAGACACCTCGTGGGGTAGCGGCAGTATGTAGCAGCGCCACGTTTCGACGGTAGTTGGTACTGTACCTCCGGGAGCCGGCAATCTCCATACTTGCGCAGTCGCGGAAGGCACGCGTTGGATCCGCCGGTTCATCCAGCGGCCGGTGGTGGAGTGAGCGCGATGCTCCACGACAAGAAGATGGCTTCATTTCGCCTGCTCCTGGCAGCCTCCTCTACAGACCAAGTTTTGGCGAGTTGTCTTGTCAACGCCACCGATCCATCACCTTTTGATACGTGTTTTTTTTTTTCTTGGTCTACCGTAAGAGGTTTTGAAGTTGGCGAGTCTGATGTAGCGACAACCCGGGCGGCCATAAATTCCTATCTCGTTGCTTCTGGATAGCCGTAATGCACCTATTTTTCGGTTTACCCGCGGGTGAAAGCGACTCGAGGTAATTGTCGGCGACACTGACGCGTCGGAACCTCCCATGGGACGAATTGTCCTCTTGCTGTCTGCCTCGCCGTTTGGCTTATGCCTGCAGGATCGCTACGGCCAACGCCATCACGTCGGAAGCGGCGCGATTATCTCTCGGAGGCGTCGCGCCATGAAGACACGCCGCGCATTGAAGGCCAGCGTCGGGGTTGGAGGCGTTTTGCCTCGACCGTGAAGCGCTTTCGTCATCGAATTTTATATACTGTAGCACTCCACACCCCCATGCGTGTGGATAAATGTGCAGCATTTCCGCAGGAGCAGCCCGTCGACCATGGTCTGGGTCTTTCTAAGAGGCGGTTTCTGTCCACTTAGTTGAAAGTGCTATTTTCATATATGTATGTCTATCGGCGTTTGTGTAGGGAAGAAAGACTCCAGACAAGTACGTAATCCCCGTAAACTGCTTGTGGCGGGGTCGATATCTTGTTTGGTGGACTCCTGTTGCACGGGTTTTCTTGATGAATTGTCCGTGTGTGCCGGGCGGGGGGGGGTGTTACGATTTGATGGTTGTGGCAAGAGAGAGCGTTGGTTAGCACGTGTCCGCGCTTCTGTCGCAAGAAGGCCGGTGAGGATAATCGAACCGCACTGGTCAAGAGTATGCGTGCTGAAATTGTTTAATATTAGACCGGAGGGAGGGACATATTTTTTCACGTGCTAATACGGACACGGTGTATTGAGGCGGGTGCGAATTTTTCGACGTGTAGACCAAATCTGATGACCGGAAACGATGCAGCGCTTCGACACTAGAGTACAGGGGATCCAGGTGGAAAAAAGGGGGGCAGTTCTCCGTGAATGCAATATGCCCATTTGGCCGGATATTTTTCCAAAGTCTCTTACCTTTGCAGTTTTCAATGCACCCCCTTCTTTATGCATGATGCTATACTGGATTTTGTCTTCGTTCTTGTTTACGGGATTGTGGGTTGTTTGTTGGTGGGTGGGGTGTGCGGGACAATTTCCGTGAACGTGTTTGTGATGTGGTGTGGAAGAATTTTCTCATTTTGCGGTGAATTGAAGGCATGATACATGACATGAGGACTCTCGGATCTATGCCTGTATCTACGCCTGTTCCTGGTGATGTTGGGGAAGTAGATTGGTGGTCGTGACGTTCGAATCTCTCTTTTTTTTCTGAATGTAACGAAGGAATGTTAACCAAACAGCCCTTTCACCAAACAAGGGGGGGGGGATTTAGCAGCTTTTTGTGAAGGCGGTAGAGATATGGGGGCGGGCGTCCAGCCACATACCCCGACAATTTTTGCATCGATCAAACCGTAAGATTCCTGTTTCAATATTGCTGGTCTGGCCACCTTCATTCAAGCGGTTGTCGACCGATTCGAGGGTTTGCCGGGTACTATTCTTGAGTTGAAAATCGGCGTTCTTCGTCAGGTATGTAGAGGGTTTCAACCAACCGAGTG